GGACCTGGGGAAACCTTGGTGATGGTCTCGCACCGCGAGGGCATTTGGGAGGTGAGGGAGCGGAATGGGTGACCGTTTAGATGCGTCAAGAAGTGGAATGCCTGTCTGCCCCAGCAAATGATTCAACGGGCAGGATTCTTCCTGCTTGAGCAGTGGAATGATCTTGTTTTGCCTCCACTCACGCAAGTGAAATGCGGTTCTCTTGGATTGATAATCACTCTTCCCGGAGAGCTCGCAAAAAGGGCCATTCAGCTGTGTGCCTTTGATCAACAAGCTGATAAGACCGAGAAAGCTCAATGACCAATTGTTCGACACACTTGTACATCTGACCCCGGAAGGCAATGCAGCACATCGGACAAGTTCTGGTGCGATTGCCCTACTGCAGCACCACGTACCTCCGCTACGATCACGATACACAGGTCCTAAGTGCCTGGAATCGGGAGGCGGGGTTTGGTTCTGGGATTGAATTCGCAGCATGTTGGCTCAGGCTGATGGGGCACAGGTTTGGATTGGGGACAATGGATATGAGCGAACATATTTTTGCTGGTGCACAGGAGCGAAGGCCCTCAATCGTGCTGGACGACATGAAGGGGCTCAGGACAGTTCGTCAGCAGGGGAAGGATCTGATTCAAGCAAGCACTAATGCCGTCAACAGAGCGGCCCCTTGCTTTGGCCTAAGCACTCCAAGTGAGAGCATGGGCCATATTCAGTCATATCCGAGGGAATATGGAATCTGCTCGCAAATTTGCCAAATGGCAGCCGCAAGTTCCAATAGAAACGCGTTGCCAGACTCAACTTGGCCAATCAATGTGATCACCAAGAGTGATATGGGTGGCAGGACTTTTTTGAGGGTCGCCTTTTCGTCCCACCAGCATGGCATTTGTGGCGTGGTACCTGGAAGATGCATTTCCCCAGACCCCCTGGGTGCTTTGTTAGTGGCAGGGAGGGCATGGGAATGCAAGAGACAAACCCATGCTGTGGATGGACGAAATCCTGCACCAAGAAACCCTGGAATGATTCGACTCCCGTGCAAATACCAACAGCCGTTATAGTTTCAACCACAAAATGCTAAGCAAGAAATATATGTTCATAATAAAGCTACAAGCTGAGATTATAGAAGCGACATAAGTAATAAAACACAGCATGAGCAGGTGACAGAGATATATGGATTTCATCCATCAGTATCACCTTTTCTAGAAAGCGGTTTGGATGCGCAATTTGTGGATTTCACCGGTTCTTCCCCGTTTGGTCCTTTTTCTCGTACTCTTTTAGTATCCCACAGGGGATCCGCATTTTTTTGCAACGTCCACACCGTGGAAGCCGATGGGCGTCGGAGGAGCAAAGATTTGGCGGGGCTTTTGTCGAGTGGCAAGGGACTCGTGGCCTTGGCCGGGTGCGAGCGCCCGGCCCTCGGAGTTCCCCTTCGGGGCTTGGGTGTGCATGTCGCGCGGTCGCGTGGTCTCCATTGGTAGCGTAGGGACGGTTGGGCCTCAATGGTCAAGGGTTGAAGGGGACCACATGTTATTCAGCTCGACCTTTTTCATTTCAAGGCCTCAGTGATACGAGTTGCCGACTTGATACGCCCGAAGCTTTCGGGGAGCGGAGTTTGCCCAAGCCGATGAGCTATTCAAGCCCAGCTATCCCTGACAAGGATCGTTATGGCCAGCATGCTGCTGATATTTTGTGGGATGACAGTGGTTTCAGGCATTCTTGATTGAGCATCAGGCGCGGTGTTTGTTTGAATATCTCCCAAGGTCGAGATCTTGTCTTGATGGATAGGTTGAGCTTTCTGTCATTGGGTGCCAAACTACTAATTGTGTCCTAGTAACAACCAGAGAACAAGAGAAGTTCGAGTCAGAAGCAGGTTTGCGCTTCCAGCGACGCTCAGGCCGTTTTGCAGCAGTTGGAAGCCTATCGGCTGTGTCATTTTTTTTCCAATGACAGGCATTGAGGCCAAACTGTTTGTTCGCTTCGATTTTCACTAGGTGCCAGTGGACAGTTTTTGGGGTCGGAAATTTGGATTAAGACTAGGCACTTGGTAAGCGCAGGATTCAGTGGGAGCAGCTTGATGATCACATTGATGGGGTGTTGTACTCCAGTACACTACCTCAGAAAGGCTTATATACATGGACACCTATCACATGTCAGAGTGTTTGTGTTTCTGTCGGTCCTTGTCTTTTTGATCTGTCTATGGGCTGTTCTGTGGTTGTTGCTCTTGCGGCCGCTGCTGCAGCTGGGGCTTCTCAATTTCATCACATTCGCCAACATGTCACCAACTCGCTTGGTAGTCCAAGCGAACGAGGCATCAACTACGAGGTTTTGCATCGCTGTAACGTGCCTCGCCTTGAGGCAAGCAGCTCTGGCAGACCCCTGGGGTGCGGGGCGTGTGGGTGGACAATGGCGACCTCGCAGTTGGGGAGATTGTCGAGCTGCTGAGCGTGCCGCTGGCCAGCGAAGGCGGGTGTTGGTGTCGTAGTCCAATCGAAGGCTGTTGGGCATCAGGCGAGGTGAGGTATGCCATTTTGGAGTTGGAAGCTGTGCACGACCGATGAAGTGGTTCCATTAAGAAGCCAGTGAACTTCATTGGGGAACAGAAGATGATTTGAGGTCAGGTACTAGGGGCTGCAAAAGTTTGGGACGTGAAGGAGTAAAGGGGGGCATTCAAGGGAGTTTGTTTTCCTACTTGACAATCCGGTTGGCAAATACGCTCCGGAGGTTCTGCCTTGAAAAAGATGCAGTGTCGCGCAGAGAGGAAGTTAACGCATTCAGTTGAGATGGGTTGTGAGGGAAGAGCAGGAAAACAGCCTTGTTCCTGTTCTTGCCATGTTCAGAACAAGGCATAGGAGAAATGAGTGGGGCGCTACACATCCTGGGCACGTGAAGTGCGAGGTGCGTATTTTGTGCCTCCACGAAATATGGTTTGCTTTGCCTTGGAACCAGGGTGGCTCCGGATGCATCGCAGGGCTTGGCTGATCCTCTTTGCTCTTGCTCTTCAAAGCCTGTGGCTCCGATCCAAACTGTGGGTCAAAACCAATGGGATCCCATGTTGGTTGGTAGGTGAATTCACCACCCATTTTAGAACCTATGTTAGTGGTTGGATCGGGATCTTCACTGGGGGGAAAACCGGGAGTTTGGGCTTTTTGACCCATGGCCAAACCGATCCCGGGTTATTCAAGGGTTTGGCGGTTCAGGCGGCGAGGGGGATTTCGTGCGCGTGCGGAAGACGAACGGCCTGGAGGGCTGGACCAAGGTGAACAACCTCAGGCTGTCAGAGGCGGAAGACGGCGGTTCCGCGGTCGGATTAATTTTCTTGGATCTTGGCCAGTAAAAGCACAAACATGTGGAGAGATGTTTGTTTTGGTTATGAGCTTTTTGTGGGTTGTTCTTTGGTTGGCACTGCTGGGCCTAGCGAGTGGACCAACATGCAACAGGGAGCTTCCGGCATTGCGTGCAAGAGTAGATGGCTGCGTAAGAAACTCGCGACGTGGAACAGGGAAGCAGCTGTGGGCCGTTAAGTTGTTCAACTCAAATTGCTATATTCAGCACGCCCCATGAATGCCCGAACAGAGAGTCGAGTATGCGGAATTGCAACTCAGCCACTCCCAAGGCCCCAACTTTTTTCAACAAGACTTGAAGGTTTGTGCACAAGTGCGCAGCATTCTGTTTTGGGAGTGCCGTTTTCTGTTTCGCTCATTTCGCTGCCATATTTTTCCTCTGGGAGGCAGGTCAGGACGAGTCACCTCGCAGACTCTGCCTCATTGCTCTTGGAGCGGTTCCACGCCTTGTAGATGAGACCTAACTTCCAACTGCTGAAAAGACTTGGTGGCTCCCGGCCATCCCCTTAGCTCTTTAGACTTTTAGTGTTGAGTGGGGGTTTCCATTTATACCACTAAAAGTTAAGGTTTTAGCAGGGGATCCGGCAGCCCAGCTTGTTTGTTCCCCCTGTTGCTTTAAAGGGAATCTAAGACACTCGTGGACATGTTTCTGGAAATCTTTGGGCCAGGGGACTGCACCGCTTGGTGTGGGAATTTCTGGGGACTAGACATGCGCGGGGTAACACGGGACTGCACGTGCATTCCCTACGAACCCATCCGGGATTTTTGTGGCCGCACATTTTTGGGGGGGAGGCGGTAAGTGAAGTTTGAATGGCTTTCTGGTGAACATGTCAAGTCGCCAAGCTCAGGAGTCAAAGTCATGGATTCCCTGATTTCCCCATAATTGTGTCTCCTGACTGTCTCCCCTGATTGTTTCCTCGGTACCCCACAATTGTGTCCGCTAGTCACCAAGAAATTCTCGCCCCTCAGCTCCGGGAGCAGTCGGCCAGGGAGCATAAGGCTCAGAAGGAGGCTGCGACGCCCTTCTACGCAATCTTCTGAGCCATAATCTCGTATATGGGGGGCTCTCAAAGTGGTGGACCCCTTCTGGTTGGTTATGCAAGTGGAAGGGAAGCCGACCATTTTAGGGCCACCATTTTGAGGAACACCCATATGGCCCTGACTCGGTCGGGCAACCTAATAGCTTTTCCTCGCATAGATACAGGTTGCCTTCGCTTCGGAGAAAAGGCATCCCACCCCGCCCAAATCACATTACACACATAGACAGACAATTTGGGCCTTTTTGACACAGGTGCCAATCCCAAGAAGGTGCCACCTTTGAAGGATTTGAGGGGAGCAAGGGAAGTGCGAACTTGGACCCCTGCTCTCCCTGCACGGGGCGGGCGCATGCTAAGCGTGCGATCAGCTCCGTGCCGAATTCAGCGCGGCAGAGGTGCAGATTTCTTTGCCGCAGACCTCGGTTTCGCCTTTTTGGCTTTGAGTCAAGGAGAAAAGGAGCGAGTGCCCTAGCTCTGGTTGAGGGTTGTTTGAGGCATGGGTTCCCTTTGGGAACGAAGAGGTGTTTCTTTGGAGTCGTGGCAACCTAGAAGGCCATCTGCTTTCCCAAAGAACTATGTTATCAGTATCACAACTGAAGCGATCGGGGCTCAACAAAGCGATCTGGAGGAGAACGTGGACTGGAAAGCCGAAGCTGAGAAGAAGCGTGAGCTAGATGAAGAATATGCCCCTCGGCCCCAGCTTGGGCGATGATCATATCAGTGTGTGTGTCTTTTTCGGGGGCCCGGTGGGTTTCTTAGGGGGCCAGACGCGTGGGTGTCCCTTTTTTGGGGGTTTCCCGCCAACATGATGGTTGTTCTTTTGGTTTCAAAACCACCAAAAGGGGTACCAACTCAAAAGACAGACCCGTATCGCCACCTGGGGCTGGGTCAAAGCTTCCTTGGAGCCGGGAGCCGACGAGGGCCGATCGATTCGCCCAAAGAAGGCACCCCAAGGAGCGGTTCCTGTGAGCCCCCTGCGCCTTCTTGATCGCGAGAAGGGGCTCCTTGGGGGTTGGGGGTGGGCCCACCAAAACCCACACCCCCACCCAAGCAAGCAAGCAAGCGAGCGAGCGAGCGAGCGAGCGAGCAAGCAAGCAACGCACTCACTGGGACCACGAGGAAGTCAGATCCCAGCAGATGAATTTACTTTCATTGTGGCATTTTCCCCAAACAAGCTTGGCTTTGAAGTGGTAGGCCAAGTTCATCCTCAAAAGGGACACCACAAATACTCCATTCGCTGCCATTTGGAAGGGCTCTACGCAAAATGGAGCCCTTGAGGGCAGTAGAGGAGGGCATCAAGAAATCGTAAAATCAGACTTGGGTGCAATGTTCCTCTATCGAACGAGGTTTGACCTCGCGCACTTTGACGTGCGTGTTTTTGTATCTAGACTTCCCATCCTATCTGAGGAGAAGATGATGAGAGAGCTGGGCCTGTCCAAGCCAAAGGCCAAGGCCGCGCGAGACCGAAGCAACTTGAAGCAGATCCTGTTCTTGGCCTGCCTTCAAGAGAGAATATGCCCCTCAGAAATACTTCCCGGTATAACGAAGCCTTCCAATGTTGTCTGTATCGCGTGGGTGGGTGAAAGCGCCCTTGTTTGGACCCAGGCGAAGATCCATGATTTTATCGGGTGAATGAACAGAATAATTTGCACAGCTATGCTTACAATACAATATGAACGAGTGGGGCATGCATGTTCACCTGCCAAGATCAGCTCATAACACACATCGCAAATGACCTCAACTTGGGGCTACGCAATGCTGACTCATCAGGGTTTGTGTTTGGAGACTGACGTGCGGTGGTTTGACGTTTGTTTAAAACAATGGTGTACACTCAGAGTGCCTGTACCTCCAGAAAAATGAAGCGGAGTAGTTGACGCAACGCAAGCAGGAACTTGCCACCTCCCCCCTCCCCTCCCCCCCTCCCCCCCTCCCCCTTCCCCTCCCCGCGTGAATCACCGATTCGAAGCAAAAGGAAGTGCCGCCCAGCGTGGACCATGACGTTGTTGGTCATCCAAAGCTTTGAGCCCTGACCAGAATTCCATAGAGAGTTTGAGTCCTCAGCACTCCACTCGTTTCCATTAAAAGCTCAGTTTCCATTAAAAGCGGCGTTCATTTGCTTTGGCGATCTTTGGTTTGTCCAGTCAAGCGTCATGGGATGATTTTTCCGGATGCGCCATTGGTATCGACGGCAATCCACTTTGTCGGGGATTTGCCCCGGAGGCACCGCCGCCGCCGCCAGGACGGGAGCCTAAGTGCTACTCAGAACCCAGCGTCTTTTTGCTTCTCCAAGACGCGCCCGGAAGGGGAGCTGTTCGTTTTCTTTCAGCCGCTCGAAAAGTAGAAGACGCTGGGATCAATCATTCCGCCGCGGATGTTTGGTTGGATGAAACGAGAGTACCGCACAGGGCGAGCCCCATGAAAATCTCAGCGCAGATTTTGAGGGCGGTTGATGTTCAACTGATGGCCTCATGCGACTCTTGTGCCAGGTGAGCCCGCTGCATCCCCAGGGTGCTGCTGGCTTGTAAGCGGCGCAAAAGCAACTGGGGTGACCTTTAAAACATGTGCAACAATGCACACACCGCATACCGATATATGATATGTCCTTTCCATTTTAGAGGTTCCGTTTCTTGATTTTGAGATATACCCGTGTTAGCCCGCACACACACACACACACACACAGGTTTGTATTGACTTATTGGGATGATCCCAAGCCAAGCCAAACCCTATGGGCGATCTTTGCATTTTTACGTGTATTTGTTGGGTATGTTTCACGACTGGGCTGTCAATGTTAGAGGAGGTGTTTAGCAAGTCCGGGACTCTGTCAATGTGAGAGGGACATGTTGCGATTCACGCCATGTCTCACGAAAGTCGTGTTCTGCTGCCCCCCTCGCCCCCTAACATTGTGACAGGTGTAACGTTTCTTTTGTTGAATAAACAGCAGTCCTCTTGATTGTTACGAGCCAAATCTTTGATCGAGTTTTAATCTAGTCTATTTTTCTTAAACAAGAAAGAAACCATTAGACTCACAAAAAGCACTGACAACAACAGAAAGGAAACATTAGAATCACAACACGGACAACAGACGACAACAAGAAGCCATGTAAGCGCCTTGATCGCCTCCCTTCCGGTGCGCCAGTTTGCCAGGAACCTGGAGGGAGCCAAGGCGGCTGCGGCGCTCCTGGCGCAGGACGCGTTTGGTTGGGAGGAGGCGGATGGCCCAAGGACCACAGATTGTGACTTGGAGCTTCCAAAGAAACATGAGCCACTTGCTCAAAACCCGGGCAAGTGAAGGGTAAGGGACGATCACAGCCATAAATAGCTGCGGGCCGCCTTCTTGGTTCTTTACATGGTTCTGGGTCGACCATTTTGGACGTTTTGATTGTGACTCACATGGTAGATGGCCCTGGAAAATGGCTTATAAGAGACCAGTGACCAAAGCAGTGGAGCCAATCTATTTTTGACCAAACCTAAAGTGGATCATTGGGGGGAATATGTGGATTCTTCCTGGGCGCTGAAAGGTTTTTTTTTGGTTTGGAGTTGTCGTTTTGGAAAGAACTCTTTCCTGTTCTTGCTTTTGCTGTTTGTTCTTCTCGTTGTCTCTGGCCGTACAGCACTGCATGTTGTCACCGCCAGATCCGTAACGTGGTTAGCATTCGGCTTTTTGGCTTCCGGCCTCTTTGCTGCTGCTTGGCTTTTTGGCGGCTGGCGTTTTTTAAGCGTAGCTTTCCTGCAGCGTCAAACCTGAACAAACGAAGCCAAGCTCTGATTCTGCCCGGTCAGCCAAGCCAAGCCAACACTCACCCACCCCAAGCAACCCTTAATCCAAGCTAAACCCACCCGGCGCCAAAGCCTTCATCCAGCCCCTCACCCTACACTCGGCACCCTCAACCCACCCCAAGCATCTATCATCGGGGTCCACTTTTCACAGCATTTCGTAAGGGCGTCCAGGTCTGCCACTGCTTCGCACGTCTTGCGGGTCCCAGCTGGTTTCGGATGGAGTGCTTCACTCAGAACCGGTCGCAGAGAGAAGCCGCATCCTCTTCCTTCAGGAGCCCAAGGCTCCAGGCCTTGTGGGCCATCGCGAGGCGAATGGATGTGGCTTCCGGGCAGACCGCCGGAGCAGCGTTTTGAGAGACATCAAGTGGTAGCAGCTTAGCCAGGGATCGGGATGGTAGAGCACGCTTCAAGTGGAGTCTTTCGCCCTTGCGCCGGAAGCAAGCCCGCCGGAGGAAGCAAATGTGCGGACAAAGCAAGTCTGTGAAAAGATTGGTGATGCCAGGTTGGTCATTTGGGTCTTGAGAGATCATGCAACCGGGAGCAGACAGGCTACCGCTTTCGCCAGGTCCAAACGGTGCCGAGGTTCGGGGGAAGTGGGGAGGTTGGGACGGGAAATGTATGGCAGGAGTGAGAGTGAAAAGGGGCGTGGACGAGGTTTCCGGGTTTCTGTCGCCGAAAGTTTCGACGCAGATGAAATCGAGATGTGTCGAAATGCAGTTTCGACGGACAAAAATGAGATGCGTCGCCCCCCTCCCCCCCCAAAAAAAATGAGAGCCCCCCCCCCAAAAAAAAAATGAAAGAAAGAAAGGAATTCAAAAAACACTGGCAGGTTTTCCCTAGCGACGGATCCATGCCTCTAGCAGATCCCCCCACGCCGCACGCGAGAGCGACGCTCGAATGAAGCCTGGCCGCGGGCCAAACTTGAAGGTGACTTGAAGTGGAGGCTGTGCTTCACTTGAATATCTCGGCCCAAGAAAGACAATACAAAAACTGGTAGGTTTTGTTGTCCCCGGTGGCCAACTTGAAGAGGGTAGCCTCAAAACAGAAGCCAACCGCCGACGGGCTTGCCAGGCCTCCCAGTTCGTTGGGCGCCCAAGCCGCGGAAGTTGGAAGAATCCCCTGGGGTGGGGGCCTTCCCTATTCCCCCATTTCTTTTGGGGGTTTTGTTGGGGTTCCCTTTTAAAGAAGCAAACAACAACAGGAACATTTGGGTCTGTCGGTCTTTGTTTTTAGGGCGCCCCTTTTCTTGGGGTGGTTTCCAAGGGAAGCCCCCCCCCCCCCCATATTTTGGGGGTCCCATTAAAGGACTCCCATATTGCTTTTTTTGCCCGACCACTGGGCTTGGTGAGCTAACAGGACTTTGTTCAGTTGTCAGTGTGGAGTGGTCTATGCCTTGGCCATGGGACAAAGCTTACGAATGAGAAACCCATTGATTTCTTGGCGTTTTCCGAGGATTTCACGAGACATGGAGGGGCATCCTCACTTCTCGGTGATTGAATGTTGGACTTGTTTTTCTATTCTAGGCAGGGTGGGAATGATGTTTTAACCATGATGTTGCATGCCTGAATCGTGACATCTCAATAGCCTCAAAGAAATTCAACCGACAGCCCAGGGGCCGGCCCGGGCCCCTCCAGCCCGTCCGAGGTGTACGGCCCTAGTCCCGGCCGGTGCCACGCCAAAGAGCGAGGCTGGTATGCACATGTCGCATGAGCGATGGGCATTTGGGTCTGAGGGTACCCGTTTGGGTGGTGACAAAAGGGGACACCAGCAGGAAACCGCAGCTTTTGTGTGGGTCCCTCCAAAAAAGACGCCCATTCCTGCGGCTCTTACGAAAGTCCGGGGCCAATGGACGAAGCAAACGAAGAGGATCTGCGGAAAGAGCGCTAAAGGTTCGTTTTGGGGACGAGGAAATGAGCAGGGATTGGTCCAATTCCCACAAAGCAACGAGCCAACGAGCACATTGGAGGGTTCCAAGAATCCAGGCGTTCAACACCTTGTGCCAAGTAGCATCCTTTCGCAGGCGTTCCCCAGGCCGGTTGGGCCCGTCAAAGGGAAGGGCGGAGGCAAATCCTGGGCGCGGAGACCCAGAGCGTCTCTGGGTGCGCAGGGCCGGGCTGTGATCCGTATCGATGGAGGTCTGAGGTCTCAGGTGGGTATGGGTCAAAATAAAACCATCAGAGGACCGCAGATTTTTCAGTCCCTGGTTCCATTTTCCGGGGTTCCATTTTGGGTGCCATTTGGGACCCACTGCCAGGTCAATTCCGCAACCCGTTGATTCTCTTGGCCTCGGTTTGGGAAAAATGGATCGGTCGGTGCAACAGAAGACAGGCCTTGGACGTTTCTCGGAGTCCTCCAGGCTCGAACAGCAGCAACTCCGCTCGAGTGACACGTCCAGCATCTGCCTCCAGTTCCAGTGTTTCGACTTGGCTCCAAGCTTGTCAAGAGGCTATTTGCAGTGCCAGCAGAGTTTGTGTTTGTACTTACCCTTCAGAGTTTGTGTTTGTACTTACCCTTCACTCCTCTTTTGCCCTTGGTCAATTTGACGACCTTGTGAAGTAGCTCTTGCGCACACAAGCTCCTGAGCAGCTCTTAAGGAAACGGGTTGTTTGTGTTCCCACTTGAGCGCAAGAGTGTAGCCAGCGGACCAAATCCCATAACTTCAAATCTTTGAATGTACTCAATGCATCGCAAACATCCAAGGGCAAGCGGCCACCTCGTCCGCGGATGGTGGCTGCCTAAGATGCATGCCGGAATTTCCGGCAAGACGTCTTAGAGCGTTTGGCCTTCGAATTCTATCTCAGCCGTGCCTGGAAAGGGCGCGGTCCAAGCCGTTCTGTTTTGCAGCCCTTTTGACGGCAGCTGACGAGGGCCTGGAGCCCCTTCAACCTCAAAACGGCCTGACTTGTTTTCACACTGCGAAACAGCTGGTGGAGGGGCCTTTTCTGGCTTGGGTTTGGTTTCAGAGCGGCCAGTTGCCTTCAGCGCCTTCAGGTGCCAGCACAGCCGCCCAGAGGCGGGGGCTGTGGGAGTCACTATGGACACAGGCTCCAGGCTCAGGCAAGCGACAAGTGGGATGCCTGTGCCGAGCGCTTTGAGACAGGAGATTTGGCTGTGGGTCAAAACCAACGGTACCATTTTGGGGTGGGTGCACCACTCATTTTAGTCTATTTTAGTGGGGACTGGGATGTTCACTGGGGGTACGGGTTTCTGACCCATGGCCATTTGAAGCCAGTCACTCCGGCAGATCACTGAAAGCGACGCAGACGTTTGGCCCTCTTTGATCAGCTGCATGACGCGTGGTGCTTGGCATGCGAAGCCAGACGCCGACGTCTCCATCGGCTGCCCGCGCATGCTTGCGCAGCAGCTCTTCTCTAGCGGGCTGCCTGTCCGCGTTTTCATGGAAAGCTGAGAAAGCCTACGAACCCGATGGGGGCTCCAGGAATCAACAGATCAGAAGACAAAAGACTCTATGAAGTAATCGGTGCTATGTGGTTGTGCTGAGCGCTTTGCAGTGATGTGGTTGCGGAATAGGTGTTGCTTGACGCGTCAAGCAAGACGCTGTTACACGACTTGCTTGCGGTTGAATACCTGTAAGACCCCACATTGGTAGCCCTAGCATGTTGAATTCGGAGGGCAGGGCGTTTTCGCCATGCCCACCAAAAACCAAGGGGTCGACTGAGCTCCAAACCTTTGGGGCAGCCGCTATTCCCAGGTTCCGAGTGCTGCAGGAGATGGGCCAGGCAGGCGCGTTGAGAGATGAGACCTCTGGGCAGGTGGTTCTTAGAACGTTTTTTGACTTTCTTCCCCCAGGGTCCATGAGACGAGCTGTGTGTTCCCTCGGTGTTTTTTGAGCCTGGCTTAGAGCTTACTTGCGTTCAGCGGTTGAGAGGGCCGTTGCAACTCCGAATAGCCAAGCCCAAGCTAACTTTCGACGAAGACCGAGTGCCAGGTCCAAATGAGGATTTCTGGGATGATTCCCCTTGCTGCCCCAGCCCACCACTTCTACCCCCCTTCCAGTGTTCTGCTCTCAGTTTGTTAGTATCATAGCTTGGACTGGTTCTCGGGCAAGCTTGACAACACATGCCACTTAGACCCTGCTGCAACTTGTCCAGGATGCGACTGATCCCGATTTCCCTCATGAAGGTGATCACCACTGTTGTCTTCCGAAGTTGCAATGAATTCAAGACTCCAGGAGTCAACAAAGCCAAACATCCGAGAGCCCGAGAAGCAGGTTTTATTCAGGGTGCCCGCATGAGAAGCTTCTTTCGGGATGCCAAGCATGCAGTTCCTCCAGGCACACACACAAAAACAAGCATACAACAGGCAAAGGCAGAAACAGAGAGACAAGCAA